CGATAGCTGTGGTGCGTCTTATTTGGCAGCAATCCATAGAAAAAGGAATGCTCCATATCAGCTACATCCACCAGCAAACAGTGCCATAAAACATATTCCCCATAAATAACTTTGCGTCGCGTCCGTCCAAATCACTTCGCAATATCGTTCCGCAATGGCCTCCATAACCGAGGTCACGAAGGAAAAATATCGCACCAGCGTGCCTTCTTGCAACATCTGGCAACCGCCGTGCCGTTCCAACAATTCTGTCACCTCGCCCACTTCCCTTTTTTCCGCTTCCTGTGTCGCATTTTAAGCATCCTCAGATCACCTGAGTTCAGCTTCCGCCCATGTGCCATAGAAAGGTACGTAGTACTTCCCTACTACTTTTGAACACGGACATCAGGGAAAATCGTCTTTCTCCTGCATCTCCGTCAACCGCCTGTTGTGTGGATATAGCCACGGCTTCACAAAATGGAAATCTTGCCGATGACACAAATGCCATCGCTAGTTCGTAAAGTTCAATCTTCAACATATAAGAGAAAGGAGCCCTGAAATCCAGCATCCTGTAACGGTGTAGCATTTATTATTCAGCAAGAATAGCAATTTACCGTTTCCCGTGAACGCTGCTACGCCTGCTATGAACACAGAGATACTGCAAGTACTGGTACGGGTACTCCTCCGGCAACCGCGTCCTTCTTTGCCGTTCATACTGCTGTCGAGTCACAGCCTTATGCTTGTAAAAAGATTTGCCAGTAGCAAATTTCTTTACGTCGGACTCAACCTCATCAACTTTCCGATAATAGTACGCACCAAAGGACATAATCTCACACATTCACCCACCATGATGACAGTTACAAATGTGACGCCAAGTGATTTCCAAAACTCCTGTAGTATATCACAACAACTAAATATGATAACCCTAGTAACCTACTTCAATTCAACTATACACCGAGGTAGCACGTATATATATATATATATATATATATATATATATATATACATATATATATATATATATATATATACGAACCGCCATTTACTGGCAGCCTCTCCTGTTGGTCTAGCATACCTACCGAACCCAACCCGCCGTTAGGCAAATCGCAGATGTGCGAGTCCCTGTCCGGCCATACTGGTGGAGCTTTTTAGCTGAAAGAACGTAGAAAACAGTGTTTGAACAAACACTTGAAACAAAAGCTTACTATTGTTAAATTTTCTCCCATCAATGATATTTTAGATCGATTAAAGTGGTATTGGCCAAAGCGTCTTTGGCGCTTACTCGTAAATTTTCCGATTGTTCCCATTTATAAGCTCTTTTACACCCTGTTTTGCTTTTCTATTGCGGTCGTTTTACGACTGTATACTTGTTGTAATTCCACTCTATTTTCCAGGGCTATCACAGTAAACACCCAGGCGGTTGGACCTATAGGGTTCTCGTTGGATGAGCCTACTGCAGGTTGCGGGCAGGTTTGTTGGGCGGAGCCTGGGATACTAGTCGGTAAGCGATGACACGTAAAGCGTGTCAAATACAACAGCATAGAAGTCGGAGGCAACTGAACCAAACGTATATTGTGCTGGCTACAAAAATAGGAAGCAAAGCAAGCAGAGCGCGAAACGTGCAGCGAGGTACTCACCAAAACGCCTAGTGTCAACGGACGTGCAGAGAGTAAAAGAAATGGACCTTTCGAAGGGTAAAACAAGCGTAAAATCCAATGTTACAAAATACCTAAGGTTGTTTCCCGGTACACTACATTTTATCTGTTTAGCTCCAATGACAGGTTAGCTGGCGGTGTGCAGTTTGACGTTTGCTGCCGCTAGTATCACGAAAGCTGTACCGGCCTACAAGCTGGCCAGTACAAAATGCTATCTTTCAGCGTTCATTTTTCCGCTCTGCTGAATGCTGCGCGGAAAGGTCGAGGCGCCGCCGACCACTACCGGTGCGAAACTTTCAGCGCTGGCTTCAAGGTTGGCAGAGGTTGAGAAGGCCATAGCCAAACTCGCCTCCATTGCGTCGCTCGATGCGAAAATGGATTTGCTTTTAAAATCCCTGAATATTTCGCTTGAAGGCCCTGCAAGAGATGGCAGCATTGCTGGCGATCCATCCACTGGGGTCTGGAACTTGGTCTTGAAGTCGCACATCCTACAGGCCTTTAAGGTAGCATTGCTGGCTATCCTCATGAGTCGATCAGTGAAGAAAAATATGGTACGGAAATACCGGAAGCCGTCTGTTAATCCCGGAGGATTAGTTGGCACGGCATCCAAAAAGATGCCGGCTTTGGCAGTCGTAAGTTTGTGTTGCGGTTGTGCACAGGATAACATTCAGAAGATGCTGACCGTCTCGGCCGCTAGTGAACCAGCCCGTCCTGTCGAAGTGCTGATAACTGCTCGATACAATACAAGGTCCACGGCCTTTGCTCCAGTGAACCAAAAGAAGATGCCGACTAGATCTGCTCGTACAACTTCGAACGGGCTAGAAGACACAGATTGCTGCCGTATCAGTACCAAGCCATTCGGCCAACCAACGAAGAATTTTGGCTGTCAACCGACTGCGAATAATAGAGTGCAAAAATCGGTCTATACGATGCATAGCCGACTTGCACTACTGTTCAACGGAAGATACGGCAGTGTTCCAGGACGTGTTGGATTTTCGCCTGGCAAGCGTTCTCCCTGTATAAAGCCACAAATGTCCGTTTAACAACACGGCAACTTGGCGGATGTGCCTCGCCACAAAATAAAGTCACAGCTAAGCATTTCACACTGACGCAGTCCTCAGCCTCCTACATCCAACCTGTGAAACTAATTCTACTACGAAGAATGCTTTGTTGGAGCACAGATCATCCTTATCTCTTAATGGTTGTTGGTTGCAACAAAACCTTGTTTAGGCTGCTGTGCTCACGGATCACTACCTGGCGAAATTACCCCAACTTGTGTTTTGAAGGATTTTGCGCGCCACAGCGCCATAATGCCTCTTGGTCTGATTATTACCTGACAATGTGCTCACTCATATGGACTACATCTTTTCTTTTATACCTTCCATGAAAACGAAATGCTTGAACATTCCAAAGCAGCTATGCTTGAATGCATATTTGATTACGCCTTTACAGGTGTCTCGTTTTACCGAGAATATACCATTTATTTATTTATTTATTTAGTGAGACGCCGACAATAGAGCGAAAAACCTGCGCTACTGTTGCTTCGACGTCCTTTGTGAAGACAGGGATAATCCCAACGCCAGGAGTGGAAACGGCTGGTATAAGTGGCTACTACAAGACATGTGGGGGAAACCCTCCCCGTCGTACCGACACTTTCAAGGATAGTAGCGGTAAATAAATAAATAAATAAATATTTATTCTCGACTATGCGAGGCACGCCAATTGAGGCATGATCAGGTATGTACAGCTGTACAGACATTTTATGGGAACTGTAGTGTCAGTAGAAAATTGTTCATATGTCCACGCTTGGGACTGTGCGATGGTGAACATGCGATAGAACGAGTTGGTTGTAGTGGGATCGGGATCCATTTGTTTGGACATAATCGCTCTGCCACATATCGCAGTCATACCTCGAGTAATTATAGATAAATCCTGAGGGATCCATTGGAAGATAATTGAAGAGCAAGCTATCCAGTATAATGATTCTAATTGAGCTGCCAGTGTGAAGTTATGGGCTGTGACTTTATTCGGTGGCGAGTCACATTCGCCACGTTGCAGTGTTGTTAAACGGACATTTGTGGCTTTTTATAGGGAGAACGCTTGCCAGGCGAAAACCCACCACGTCCTGAAACACTGCCGCCAATCCATTGGATGGCAAGTTGTAACTGGCTATGTTTCTTGTTGAACGTTCTTTTGCTCCGTTATTCGCAGTCAAGTTGCGTCCCATTTTTCTGCTGACTGATGCGCTATGGGTGTCACGTAGTGGCAACCATAGAACTGCAAGAAATATGGGCAATGTAAAAATAAGTGGCCTCAATTTTACGGCATAAAATACGACTATGTCTGGTATTTTCCAAAAAACGGCTAATATTTCTGCACATGATGTTAGTTGCTACTTTAAGTGAGGTCAAATGAAAAAGGTCGTATTTAGCTGTTATTTCGGATTGCAACCATGGAGGCTGACTTCAGGAGCACCTTTGTTGGGCATTCGTTTCATAGCTTTGATGAATTCTATTCGCTTTTTACCTCATTTATGCATCGGAACAACTTCAATTTTGTTTGCTGTAGCAGCAAAAGAAGCAAGTATCATAGCATGAGGTATGATCGCATCGTTTATAAACGCGTGCGCTGTAAGCGCCGGAAAACAAGGAGCAAAGGAATACGGCGAGTCTAGTATGTGGTTTATAATGTTGTTAACCGTCAAATTTAGTTCCAGAGACACCGATTGCAGTGCTCGTGTCAATGTTGCTCGGGATGGCCGTAGGCTAAATGTGCTAACGTTCCAGCTCTCCCACAACCATAGATATGACATCGACTGCACAAATGACACATGCACTTGCGCATTTTACGGGCACATGTGGCTACCGTGCGTCCATTTATTGATTTTATATAAGGAGAATCAACATCCGGTGGGTAAAACAACGATTATGTTTCATTCCCTTTTTAGAAAGCATCCCTATCCGTAGTCGATGGTTAGCGAATTACAACATGCCGGAGGATTCCATGTTGCTTCGGAGTTTGAAGGTAGCCACCTCAAGGCAGCCGAATTCCAACGTAGCAAAACTGCTTGCTCGGATTAAGTGCCTGGAAGACGTGAACCCCCGGTGCAGTATCCGGGTTTATCGATAGCCTCATTCAACAAACTGATGAGCTCATAGACGTAGCACCAGGTGCGCCCGTCGTAAGTAATAAGCCACACTGCCAACCATCGCGTAAGCAACCGCGGTGGCACAAAGCCGGTAAGTTGACTACATTTTGCTTCGCTTGTGGTTAACCGGTTGCAGGTACGGGCGTTAATTGCGTGCACAACGGGCAACTGTACCACCGTAAATGCTTGGTGGAGAACAAAACCGACGGTTGCAAAATTTGCTCCAGTGACATAGCAGCAGTTCCACTTCCCAAAAAGCCGTCACATAGTAGTAACATACGTGAGTTGGAATCAAGTAATTTAGTTTCAGCTATGCGCCGTACACCATCTCCGAATATAACGACATCATTTACCCCATCTACTTCTCCGGCGTACGAAGGCAAGCGCTTTGATATAGCTTTTCACTTCCGCTCAGACACTTCGGATGGTTGTGACGCGGTACCCTGTTGCACCTATGTATATGTGTCACATAGTACGGACAACGCACCCGCTATGCCTATACGCTTACCAAATGAGACGAACACCTCGGCGGAGCTGCAGCCTATCTGCAAACCTGCGTTTGAGTATGTCATAATATATTGTTACCTGCATCCTCCTCAGTGTAGATCTGGATTCCACTGCAAATGAACCCTTTGCTGGAAAGACACCTGTTTTAAGAAGCACTTTCATGATCTGCTTGCCAGACAGTAAGTTCTTTGCCATTGTCATTAAACCACTGCAGCCGATGATTAGGACTTTGCCTAACTGCTTAAAGGCCAGCCTGTGAGAACGCAAACTTGGCCCTTTTTAGGGCCACCTCCTGTTTCGTTTCCGTGTGCTTCCCTCTTGCCAACCCGACGCAACTGCTCGGTTGACGGCATTGATTGGAACATTCGGTAAATGAATCGGACGGTGGCTCTGTAATCCTCGCAGGAATGGCCCAATTGATGTGTAACTGGGCCTACAAGCCCATGCATTCCTTGTTCGCCATGCTTTCCTTTAGGTACATTACATTTACCCCACTCCTTAGTGATCCGCTGTGTTGACGTGACGCATATGACGTGTCCGGCACATTTGCGTGAGCACTTTGAATGGGTCTGAACAACAACGTTCCCGGAAATGTTATCTGTGCCCATAGGTTTCTTGATAATTCGGTTATCATTTGCATGTAACCATATCCGCATCGTCACAGTGCTGTTAAAAAGCTAGCTATTGGTGCCTACTGATGGGCACTTTTGGTGCTCTTGCAATGAGCTTTTGTCCCCCGTCTGGACGGGTAGACGAAGACATATGTAGGCTACTGTATCACTAGTGCACTAGTGCTAATGATGTATTGAGGCTCCAAGACCTACCTTCTTGGTGATATTGCTAAGAGACCTATGTAGGCTACTGTATCACCAGTGCAGCAGGTCTGTGCTGATATGTTTAGAGGCTCCGAGACCTACGCCATTGCTGCTAGTGCTAAGTGAGCTATCTAGGCTATTTTATGACCAATGCAGCAGGCCTCTAATGATATGTCTTGAGGCTCCAAGACCTACCTGCTTGGTGATAGTGCTACGAGACATACGTAGGCTACCGGATGACCTGAAGCTATGGAGGGTGATCCATACGTCGGACGACTTTGACATACTTCAGCAGGACCTCGACCGCCTCTCCATGTGGTCCGCCGAAGTAAGTTTGCCTATCAACTCGGCAAAATCGCTACTTCTGTGCCTCGGTAAAGGTGGAGCGGGCCGATCGTACACTCTCGACGGCCAAGTTCTACACCCGACGCATTGCGTCAGAGACCTTGGCGTTATACAACGTTACGACATGAAGTCACTGGACAACACGGACAATACGTATCGCACAGCATTGCGTTCGCTGTGGGCGCTGAAACGTAGCTTCTGCACCTGGTCGAAAGAGATTGCCACTCGTCTCTTCACATCCATTGTACGACCGGTGCTAGAATACGGCTCACCCGCCTACTGTCCGTTGACGAAAGGCGAGATACACAAGCTCGAAAGAGTACAACACATAGCCACACGACTCATTCCCGGTCTTCAGGGTATGCCGTATGAAGAAAGATGCAGACAATTGGGTCTGTATACTCTAGCCTACCGCCGCGTGCGAGTGGACCTCATCATGACCCATCGGGTATTGCATCTGGGTGCTTATCCGATGCTGAGGCCACTGCTCCATGTCCGTGCGTCAAGCAGCACACGAGGTCACCAGTACAAACTGGTAGTCCCTGACCTCAAGTGGGTAGCTCATCCCTTGTGTCTTGAGCGGCGAGTGGTGAACATGTGGAACCGTTTGCCCTCGCGGATAGTAGAAGCGAACTCGGTGTCGGAATTCAAACGATTCCTGGACGCGCACTTTGCGGATGCCAGATTCGACGAAGCCTTTACAGGAAACTGACGAAGGAATCGTTCAATGATTATAACCCATGGAGCCCGTTAATCCACCAACTGCAGCTTCCGAAACGATGCCCATCCGTAATAGGCGGCGGAGCTGGTGAAGGACTCCATGTGGTTCATCCAAGAATATATCGTAAGTACATGGAGATTTTTTCTATGCTTGTAAATATTTTACTTTTTTCACCTGGGCTAGCTCACTACTACAGGTAACACTGTGTCAGTGGGACATGTCCTACATTGAGATATAGCTACATAGATGTTCAACATCTTTCTCGCTATCATGACAGTCAAGTCAAGAGTTATCGAGCGCTGGAACTCGCTTCCAGAAAATGTAGTCAGTGAACCTACGGTTAAGGGTTTCGAGCGTCAGTTAGACGCTCTTGGGTGGCAACACGAAACTTTCCCTTCTCCTGACCATATCCATCTTCAAACTTTCAGTTCCTATTCTGTCGTTATCTTCACTCTTTGGTGTTATCCTTCATTTTAATGACTTTCATTCCCCTTTATCTTCCATTTACTTTCTACTTCTTTCTTACTTCACGTAACCTACACAGCGCGGACTGCTAGTGCAGGGAACGTGGGCAGTAGTTGGTTGATCAGGGTGTGTTTCGGGTGTTTCGTTTTAGATCTATCAAGAACTAACACCTTGTCATTTCCTGGCTCAACGATTTGCTCAAGAAGGAACACTCAAGGGATTTTTTATCGTTCCAGTCCATCTGAATCTTAATCTGAATCGTACCGGTAAATACCTGCTCACGAAGCTCTCTAAGTGCTGCCGAATTTACCAGACGGCTTCATCAAACAAAACCTACGGAACCTACCAGGCGGTTAGCAATAAATGTAAGCTAAATATCAGCATGGCTCGTCTTTAATTAAGGTTGAAATCGTAGGGGATATCTGTATCCTAGCAATTCATTCGATACCAGTGCTTAGTACTGTGGTACTGTGTTGCATAGATTAGCATCCTTTAATGAGAGTTGTTTACCAAACCTACTTCTCCCACGTTGTATATCTATTTCATTAGCAACTACCTCAATTTCAAGTTCAAGTGGGACTGGAACAATAGGATAAATCCCGTAAGTGGACAGCCTCAATTACATTTACATTTACAGATAGCTCGATGTATTCCGCTCACGGCGACGGTTAATTTTCTGTCAGTGCAATTAAGCCTTGAGTTCACTGAATTGTAGATAGCAGAAGAGAGGCCCCGTGAAATCTTCTTCACTTCGTCGTGAACCGATTTATCTAACGGTGTCTAGACAGCTGCTGTATTACTTTCATTACTTAACATTTCACTGTAACCTGATAACTTCTATAACCCTTTTAGGCATCATAATACAACCACAGAGCTTTCCAGAATATCGATCAGAACCTTCTCAATGCGAAACGGATCCCACCAATGCAACAATCATTTTGACTGTCAATAAGATATTCACAGCTGCCAGAGATATACCAGCTAATGGCATCCTTTTCCAAAGAAGGAACAATGATATTGTGTGATTTCTACCTACCAGATAGTAACTCAACGTCCTTCTCCTTTGTTGACATCGTTCATTTTTGTGCCAACGGTTACCAATAGTAATCGTCATATTGGTGCATTCAAACACACCTTTTCAGGTTAAGCTGACTAGAAAATACCAATCTCCACGCAATTCTATACACGTCCATGCAGCCAATCGGATAGCTTCGCCATCTTGAATTCACACCGTTTGTCTTGCCACTAGTGGCCAGCTGCGCTATGCGAGTGGCCATTGCGTGCCTGGGTCCTCTCCTGTTCCAGATCGGTAGGTCAGGAACTAAGCATTCTTTCTGGATATGATGTGTTGATCATCTGCAGAACCACGTGAAGCCTCGAAGAATATACGTTGAAATATGTTGGTCTTGGAGGACAGGATAGGTTCCGAAGAAAGAATCGCAGATCCCCCGGGGTATGTAGTGAAATTGATTAGAGATTGTGGTAACCGCGGCCATTTGAGCGGTCAAAGCGGATTGAAGAGCTTAGAATGACCGATTGTTCAAGCTTTGTATTGGCAGGAGAATGTGCCTTCCGTAGTCGAAAGTCCTCCAGTCAAGATATATGTGGAATAGGTATTGTTAGGTAAATTGGACTCAGTGGTTCATGCCGCGGAAGAATTGATTGATTTGTCCAGTTAGTAAGTTGTAAAAAAGTTGATAATTTGCCGCTCATGTCCAGGTAGAGGAACTGTGTGCCTTGTATTGTTGTCGAAACGTAGGACAATTCCTTGGGTGCGTGTCGCCGTACCTGTGACAGACTCGGGAGTAAAAAGAAACGAACAGAGACAGCCACACAGACAGAAGAAAGGATTGCATCTGGAATGCAGTCAATCAATTGCGGCGATGCCTGAACTATTGTACCACTATG